AGTTGACGTACGCCGACGTCGTCCCGGGCGGCGTGCGCACGCGCGTCGGCAGCGCCGCCGCCGACGCCCGGGACCGCGCGCTCAACTCCAGGGCCGAGGCCTTACGACGCGCTCTGCGGCACGAACCGACGCACGACGACGAGGCGCGGGCGAGAGAGACGCGCGAGGCGAAGTTGTACGAGTACGCGAGCGTGTTACAGGAACAGGCGGAGCGCTGCGGCGCGCACGCGGGGAACGCCGACGACGGATTGCGAGAGGAGTTGACCATGCGAGCGTGCGATGCGTATCGAATGGCGTGGGAGACGCGTCCCGGACGACACGGGGTTGTGTATAATTGGGGGATCGCGCTCGGCGACCGCGCGGAGCGGGCGAGCGCGCGCGGGGATGCCGACAAGGCCAGGGCGCTGTGGGATGAATCGATCGATAAGTACGAACGAGCGACGAGGAGCCGGGAGACGGTGACGACGCAGCAAGCGACGCAGGGGTTGAATAATTTGGGATTGGCGTATCAGAGTCGCGCGGCGTGCGTGGACCTCGATCGCGCCTCCGCGGCGAGCCCGGAGGCGGCGCAGCGCGCCAGGGAAGAGCGAGTGAAGTTCTTGCGCGCGAGCGTTCGAAAATTTAGACGGGCGTTGAGGCTCGATCCGAGCTTTGACCGCGCGGTGTACAATCTCGGAACCGTCGTGTACGCGTTGAGCTCGGAGTACGCGTCGATGGCTCGACTGTATCCTCAGGATGAAACTTTGGCGCCGTTATCGAGGGATTACGTCGTCGCGGCCGCCACGTACGTGGGATTAGCGCTGGCGAGCGAACCGCAAAACGACGTCTACGCGACGTCCTATGGCATCGTGAAGAACTTTGCCCCGGCGCCGTACATCGTCGACGAGACGTTCTCCGTGGCGACGGATCGCGGCGACGGTTCGCCGCTCGATTTCGTCAACGTCCGCCTCGTTCTCACCCCCACCGAGCTCACGACGCATCCAGACGTCGACGGTGACGTCGTCATGGACGTCCCCGTGCGTTCCATCGCCGCCATCGAACCGCTCGAGGACGTCACTTTACCCTCCGACGGCGCCGCCGCGGCGCTCCACCTCCGCGACGCCGGCGCCGCCATCCTCGTGCTCACGCACGCGAACGCACGCGTTCGCGACCGAGCGATCGACGCCATCATCATACTTCGAGATCTCGCTCGCAGAGGTCGCTCGCGCGCCGTCGAAGACGTCCGCCGCGTCGACGACCTCGCGCCCGCGGACGCGTAGAGTCGCGACCCAATACAATACGCACGCAGCCGCCCATCCCACGCGTCCCCACCGCGCGACGCCCCGCGCGCGCATCGAGCGCGCATCGAGCGCGCGCGAGGGACGAGGCACCAAAGCGGCATCGCGCGCGGGCGTCGGCGACGCGCGCGCGCGATCGAGGCGCGGTCGAGGGATCCCCCGTCATGGGTCTCGCCCACGCCCTGCGAGAAATGTTCGGACGCAAACGACGCGAGCGCACGCTCCGAGAGGTGGAGCGCGCGGTGGAACAGGAGTCGAGCCAACGGGGGAGCCGGCGAGGGTCGTTCGCGCGCGCGCGAGACGCGAGCGGGCGCGACGGGTCGGGACGAGACGTCTCGGGACGCGGGGGACGATTCGACTACGGGTCGTCCTCGCACGGTGGACACGGACGAGAGCGGATGTACGACGCGGACGCGTCGAAGACTTTTGGACGACAGCACGGGAGCGAAGAAGCGCTGTGCGTGTTGGCGGGGAGCGAGGCGATGAGCATACCGGCGGGGAAGGTGACGGTGCACGTCGGAGAGCGGAGCGAGAGCTACGTCCGGGGGGAGGACGGGGCGTTTTACGACGAGTCGCACACGTTCTCGGGGTCCGTTCCGGGATCGCCCGTGTTTACCAGGGCGTCGTCGCTGCCGAAGGCGGTGGTGATGGTGCACAGCGAGGACGTAGACGTGGATGCGGGGAAAATGGGCGCCGCGGGTCAACGCAACCGAGGGAGCTGTAACTCTCTGTTGCTGCTCGAGGCGCAGGCTCTGAGCGCGGGTGAGGCGCAACATATTATCTCGGGGTCGTCAGCGAAGAGCGGGTGATCAATGCCGCCCGCCTAATACGTGGCGAACCCTCGCTCAGCGACTCGTACGCACCCACCTTCTATTTTTGCACCGGGTTACTAATACCGACCCAATCTTCCGTATGTATTGAATCTTCATCTCCGAGAATATGCGTTGTAATATTCCATCAAGCTTTTCGCGGCGACCGAGTGAGCGATTTACGAAAAAGCGACCGAGGTGCGGGCTAAACGAATGAATTAAAAACGCTTCTCTAAGTCGGCGACGTTCACTTGGGAACGAGCGCCTTCATTTGCTCGATACGCGCGCGGACGACGGCCAGCTGCTCTTCCAGCTCGCTTAGCTCTTTGCGCGCCTTCTCCACGACAGCCGCAGGAGCCTTGTCGGCGAAGTTTGGCGAGTTCACGCGACCGGCCAATCCTTCAACATTCTTTTGCATCTTGGCCTCTTGCTTTGAGAGACGCTCAACCTCCTTGACCGGATCCGCGAGTCCCGCGAGCGGCAAGTACACCTCCAAACTTTCGTTCACGATGATTTGCACGTAGTTTTCGGGTGCCGACGCGACCTCGGGCGGCGGAGCGCTCGTGACGGAGGATTGTTCGGCGTCCAATCGAGCGAGGGTGGCGATAAGGTTCAACTCAGACCCGAACGCCACATTTGCCGCGGTATCTGAGGCAACTATGATCGCCGGAATACGCTTCGCTGGCTCAACGGAGTACTCGGCGCGCGCGTTGCGAATGCGCGTCACCGCGGTCTGCAAGTTCTCAAAGGTGGATACCGCGGCGGAGTCCACCGGCGCCTGAACGGCGGGCCACTCTTGACCAATCAACGCCTCGCCTCGGTGCGGTAGCGCCTGCCAAACCTCTTCGGTCACGTACGGCACGAATGGATGAAGTAACCGGAGCGTTCTGTCGAGGACGTACAGCGTCACCGCCTTGGTGACGCGCGCCGCGTCGGCGTCGCCGCCGTACAGACGGCTCTTTGCACCCTCGATGAACCAATCGGCGATAGAATCGTAGAAGAACGAATAAGTCGCTCTTCCTGCCTCGCCAAAGTCATATCTGTCTTGAGACGCGGTAACGTGATCAACAGTGGCGTTCAATTTGCTCACGATCCAACGCTCGGCGAGCGGGAGCTTGGCGATGGACGCCGCGTCGGCGCAGAGGGCGGCGCCCTCGTCGACGAGGGCCACTCGTTCGTCATCCGTCATCTCCTCCATACTGTACAGCACAAACTTACCCGCGTTCCATATTTTGTTCGTGAAGTTTCTGTTCGACGCTAAGCGCTCGAGGTTGAGATTCAAATCTTGACCAGGAGCGGTGCCAGTGGCCAGGGTGAAACGCAAGGCGTCGCAACCTTGCTCGGAGATGACACCGAGCGGATCGACGACGTTTCCGAGGGATTTACTCATTTTCCGCCCTTGCGCGTCGCGAACGAGACCGTGGAGGTACACGGTGTGGAACGGCAGCTTACCAGTCATGCCGTAAGACATCATGATCATGCGCGCGACCCAGAAGAACAAAATGTCATGCCCAGTCTCAAGCACGCTCGCGGGGAAAAAATTCTTCATGTCCGGCGCTTCTTCGTTCGGCCAACCACACGTGCTAAACGGCCACAACCCAGACGAAAACCACGTGTCCAAAACGTCCTCTTCGCGGTACAAGATGACGTGATCACCGTATTGTGCCTTGGCCTTTTGCTCAGCCTCGGCGTCGTCGCGAGCGACGACGTAACGCTTGTTCGTACCCTTGCCCTCGCCCTCGCGGGCGCGGGCGAGGTCCTCCGCGGAGTCGTGGACATACCACACGGGAATCTGGTGCCCCCACCAAAGCTGTCGAGAGATGCACCAGTCCCGGATGTCCGTCAGCCAAGACTTGTAAATCTTTTCAAAACGTTGAGGAACAATCGTGAGTTCGCCTGTCTCCACAGCCTTGAGCGAGGGCTCAGCCATAGAATCCATCTTGCAAAACCACTGCTCAGAGACGATTGGCTCGATGACTTCGCCACCTCTCTGAGATCGCGGGACGCGGTTCGTGTACGCCTCCGCCTTGATTGCCAAACCTTCGGCCTCCATGTCGGCCCACAGTTGCTTTCTGCAGTCAGCGCGATCGATTCCAGTATACTTGCCGCAGTTCGCGTTCATCGTACCATCCTTGTTCAAAATATTGATCATGTCCAAACCGACGCGCTTGCCGATCTCGTAATCGTTCGGATCGTGCCCGGGGGTGATCTTTAAAGCACCCGTACCGAACTCCATGTCGACGTACGAGTCGCCGATGATAGGCACAGTGCGCCCGCCGGTGAACGGAACGACGCAGCGCCTCCCGATGAACTTCTTGAAACGCGCATCGTCCGGATTCACCGCAACCGCCGTATCGCCGAGAATGGTCTCCGGACGAGTCGTCGCCACCGGCAAGTAATCGTCCGGGCCGCCTCCCTCTAATGGATACTTGAAATAAAACAGCGTCCCTGGCTCCTCGGAGTACTCCACCTCGAGGTCGCTCACCGCTGTCTGCAACTTCGGCGCCCAGTTCACCATATACGTCCCTTTATAAATCAATCCCCGCTCGTGAAGGGAGATGAATGCTTCGATCACGCTCTCTGACAACCCCTCATCCAGCGTAAAGCGCTCGCGCGACCAATCGCACGACGCACCCAATCTCTTTATCTGCTGCTGAATGCGTCCACCGTACTCCGCCTTCCACTCCCAAACACGCTCGACGAACTCCTCGCGCGTCATGTCCGTCCGCTTCTTTCCCTCGCTCTCCAATTTCCGCTCCACCACCAACTGCGTCGCGATGCCCGCGTGGTCCGTCCCCGGCAACCAAAGCGTCTTACGTCCCCGCATCCGTGCACTTCGCGTCATCACATCCTGCAGCGTCACAAACATCGCGTGGCCCATGTGTAACGCCCCCGTGACGTTCGGTGGAGGCATCGGGATCACGAACGGCGGTCCCGGCGCGTCGCTTCTCGGCTTGAAGTACCCTCGCTCCTCCCACATGCGGTACAAGCCCTCCTCCACTTGCTCGTGCTCGAAGTTCTTCGGTAGGTCGCCGTGACGCTTCCCCGGTGATGGCATGGTTTTACTCTGAGCGCTCGCGGACGACGAGCGCGCGCGGACGAGGACGCGAGCGGTGGGTTTGGCGTCGCTTCTGTGCAAAGGCGAGCGCCGCTGGACGCGGAACGCGGTCGGAACGACGACTGCGCTCGACGCGCACGCGCGCATTGAAGGGCGCGCGCGCGTGGTGATCGTCGCGCGCGCGAGCGTGCGAAGACCACTCGCCATCGTGAGAGACGACGGACGCGTTGTGAAGAGTATGACTTGAGGGTTTGGCGTTTCGTCACAAAAATGCAAAAACAGACGTCTCGATGCGACCAGATTCTTCGGCTGAAGCAACATCTTCGTCGCAAAATCACTCGGCGTCATTTTCTTCGTAACCGTCGTCGTCGTAATCGGAGGCGCCCTCGGTCCATTGCGTGGGGACGTCCTCGATGGCGACGCCAAGGGCGCCGATGAGGTCATCGCTCTTTCTCAACTCGTCAATCTGCTCCGAAGTAAGCTTGTCGAGACCGTAGCGCGCTCGAAGCGCATTCGTGGCTGAGAGTAGCATTTCGACTTGCTCTTCGTCGAGAATGTCATCACCGTCGAACGGCAACAAGACGTGATCGACCGTGTGAAGAATTGCTCCGCACGAGCGAATGTCACTCTCAATGACGCTTGCGTCCGAACCCAATCCGGAGACTTTGAACGATCCCTCATCGTCGTCGATGATTTCTAACGGCATGACGTTGTTCAAGTAGTCTTCCAAGTATCGTTCGTCTCCTTCGAGAGCGCGGAGTTCGGCCTCGGTGTACGTCGCGTTCGGTATCGCATGATACGAGAGAAGGTACGCTCGCATCAGTCTAGTCGACCCGAACGCTTCCACCAAGTCTTTCTTCGCGCTCTCCCAATCCTCCCACTCACGAAGTCGTCTAATCGCATCGTTCGTGGGTGCGAAGAGCGTGAACACTCTCGTCGGATCCTCGAGCTTTTCTCTAATGCGCGGCAACGTATCGACGACAGACTTGAGTTCCGAGAGTTCCGGTCGTCGCGCGATGTTCTCGTACGCCGTCACGCACGCTTCGTCTGACGCCGGCGGTTCGATTCGAAGTAAACGACGACCGATGCCGACTCTATCGGCCGCTCGAGGCCCGATCCCTCGACCGGCTATGCGGCGTCCACCGATGGCTCGGCCGCGTAGCTTGGCGTGCGCGACGCCTTGCATTTGGAAGCACAGACAACCGAGGAAGACGATGAGAGTAAGGCGCGAGCGCCCGGGAGATCGAGCGAAGCGCATGCGTGCGAGTGTGGGACAATGAATCAAATTGGACGCGTTCGAGACGGGACGAACGGTCTCGTGCGGCGCGTCGAGGTGTGACGGATGTCGTATCGCTCGGAGACGGCGTCGCGCGCAGGAACTTCTTGGAAGACGTGGATCGAGTCAGATAGATCGAGTGATTACACGTGAACGAAACATTACGTTACAAATCCATGTTCATGCGACGAGACTTGAGCGTTTCCCGACTCTGGCGATGCGACAATTTACACTGGTTGACGATGAGAGCCAGCCGCGCCGGCTGACGAATTCACACGACACCAAGATCTGCTGTTATTCATATTTAGCTCGCTGCTGCGGCTCTTGCTGCGCCGCGCCGTGCGCGTGGCAACTACTGAGCCAGCGCCTGGTAAATCATCTCGTCATCAATGGGCTCAGTGAGCGAAATATCGTCCGAGTTCAACACGTAATCAAGAGCGTCGTAGTCGTCTCCCATGCTTGACTCTGGACCGCCGAAGGTTGTGGAGAAACCGGCGGATACGCCTGGATACGACCCGTCCGGACCGAACGGAGCGTACATCGCCGTCTTAAGCGCCTCTGAATCCACCTCGGGGTTCAACTTCTGCAGCTTCAGGCTGAAGCTGTCGCTGTTGAGATGCAAACCGATGGGCATGTCATCGAGCGCATTCGAAGTCGCTAGACTTCTCGGAAGGTCGCTGAAGGCGTTCATGAACGCGGAGTCGTCGGGTGAGCTCCCTGAGAGCACTGAAATATTGTCACGGGCCTGTGCCTTCTTCCTCGCCGCGGATCGCTTTACTCCATCCTGCGCGCTCTTGCCATTTGCCGCCGTCTTAGATTTAGCCTTCTGCTGCTTCGCCGCGACCGCTGCGACAACTTTAGCCTTGCGCAGTTCACTCTCCGCTAATAACTGCGCTTGTCTCGCGTTCATCGCCTCCAAGCTCATCGGTGGCGTCGGCGAGCGGAGAACAGACTCGCCGTACGCCTGAGTGTCGAGCACGTTTATCCCTCGGCAGAACGGCCGTTCGAAATTGTGCACGTTCGAACTGCTCGAAGATCGCTTCAAAACTGCGAGCATCTTCTCATCGCCTGACGACGTTATCATTTTTCGCACCGCGTGCTGCCACAGGTTGGCCACGTTTTTCTTCATGAGCGGATAACGTAAGATGCCCGCCGCGCCGTTCGCAAGCGCGTGCGCGATGAATTCCTGTTCCTTCGCGTCGCTATCATCCCTCTGTAAGATGACGATCGCCGCCTTTTCAGAAATACTCGGAAACTTGCACGCGCACACGCTGTTTTTATCACTCAGACAGGAACGCAGCATCTTCGCCTCGACCAACACGACGTCTCGCCTCGGCGCCGGTTCGCTCGTGAGCGACCGCGCGCATTCGTCCAACGAATCCAACACCGTCACTGCGCGTTCGAAAATACATCAGTCAGTCTCTCGAGACCATCGAATCCTTCGACACCGTCCCGGTCGCCCCCTCCATCGCGCGCTTCGGCCCCGTCCCCGTCGCGCCTCGTCTCGCTTTGAACGCGTCGCCTCCCGCACCTCTATACGACGCCTTCTCCAACAGCGTCGTCGCGCCCTCCCTATCGCTCGACCGTTCGCCCACGATGACCACCTACGCGCGCGCGTCATCGAACCCATCGTCAGTCTCCATCGCCGTCGCCTCGCCCCCGCTCGTCGCCGCAATCCGTCGCCGTGATTCATGGATAACCCATCATCCGTCCCCGATCGATCCCTCGCGCACCTCCAACCCCGACGGAAACCCCGGTCGGGTCCGTCGCAAGAAATCCATCGCCGACGCCGGTCCCGGGACCGAGCCGCGGCCCGCGCTCGAGGGCATCGTCGCGATCTTCCGTCGCGCGTCGCCGCGGCGCGCGCATCGCCCGACGCATCGATACATCCCTCTAAAACACGTACAATACGACATGCACCGCACACAGGCCGAAAACACACACAGTACGACACACACGTCGATGCGCCCGCCCCCGCGCGCGCGACCGGTGACGCGATTCGCGATCGACCGGTGGTGACCGGTGACGCGCGCGCGATCGACCGGTGACGACCGGTGACGCGCGCGCGATCGACCGGTGACGACGCGATCGCTCGCGAATCTCACGGGTGAAATATCTCGACGCCCATCGCGTCGACGGCGACGCCGACGCCGGGCGACGCCGACGACGACGGGCGCGGGCGAGCGCGCGGACGGGATGGCGACGACGACGACGACGACGACGCGGTGGGGCGGGAGATGGGGGGGGCGCGCGACGCGGACGCGTGGCGTGGGACGGACGGCGTCGAATGGGTGGGGACGACGCGTCGGTCGCTCGCGCGCGCTCGTGGACGCGGGCGCGGTGGAGACGACCGCGGGCGGGCGCTTGGAGACGTTTCTGTGTAAGCCGGGGCGGCACGCGGCGTTCGAGGCGACGAAGACGGCGACGCGGCGGGTGCGGGAGCGGGACGACGGGCGCGCGGTGCGCGAGTACATGGCGCTCCCGGCGTCCGAGTACAGCACCTTGGACGGTGAATCGGTGGAACGCGTGAGCGAGGATACGTTCAGGGTGGAGCTGAGTGAGTTGTCGTTCTTGGGGTTTACGCTGCGGCCGACGTTGACGGCGCGCGTGCGCGTGCGAGAGGATGGGAGCGGATGCGAGGTGCGCGTGGAGGAGATGGAGCTCTCGGGAAGTGGAATCGTGGAGAGCGCGAGCGAGGCGTTTGAGATTGTGAGCGTGAATAACGTCACGTGGAGTGATGTGCCGAAAGAGGCGCTCAACGCGGAGGAGCTCGAGGTCCTGGAGGCGAGCGGCGGGGAGTTTAAGGATTTTCATAGCGAGACGAGGGTGAGCGTGTACTTGATCATTCCGGGATGGTTCCCGTTCACGATCAAGTCCACCGAGCGCACGGGAAGGTTCGTCGTGAGTCAGGTCGTCGGACAGGTCGTCCCGCGGTTCTTAGATCAGCTCGCTGAGGATTATAGGATGTGGTCGAGCGGGGACGATTCGCGAACGGCGACGGGCGGCGGCATGTTCGAGTGCAAAGTCGACGGCGAGTGCGAGGTCGCTTAATCCGAGTGAAGTAATAAATATCACAGCACGCATTTGTACGTATACGATCACACACACTCGTCGCCCTTGGAAGTCGTTCTCGAGATGATCTTTGACGTCCTTCTCGACACGGAGGAACGGCAATGCAGGATCAAGTACTCGTCGGATAATCGAGACATCACCAGCATCCCAACGTACAAGATGTATCCAAAAATCGCGATGACGCACGACGTGCACCACCTCAGCGCACTACACTCGAGCTCGCCGAGCGCCTCGTCGGCCATCTTACACGTATCGTACGTGCTGTATAGAATCGCGAAACCTTTCGCCGTGGTCAATCCTAGGAACAACGTAAGCGCCAACCGCATGTGACCGACGTGGCCGAAAGATCTACCCTTTGGGTGCGCCGACGTCTGACGCATAATGATCGCTGATAGTAAACAGAGCCCCGCCGACCCGACGAATTCAGCCGACGCTTCGACGATCATGATCGTGACGAAGTACACGCTGCACAGGAGCGGCGCGTACGATAGATACCAAAGTCTCTTCAGAGCGGTGATGCTGGCGATTGAAATGTCCTCGACCTCGAAACATCGCGTGAATCTCTCGTCTACTGGTCTGAAGTAGTTTTCTATCGCCTCGAGAAAGTTGGCCATCGCGACGCGCGCCGGCAAGTGGGGGAGTTTCGCAAAGTCGCGTCAGATCACATTGCATCGGTAACGTCAAATTACGAGAGCCTTCATCAACAGCGCGATCGCGCGTTGATGGCCATCGCTCGTCGTGATTCGAAATGCACTCTACATGAGCCAGCGCGTTTCGTCCGTTTCGAAGAAGCTCCGCCGCTCGGTAGGCCCAAGAAAGTACAAAAAGCTGCGCGCTCCCTGCCGAGAGACGCCGATTTCCGGCTGCGCGCACTCCGCACGAAGCGCGGTCACGAGCCATCGTCGACGAATGATGAAAACGAGACCACCGAGCGTGACGACAAAAACCATTTTCGCGTAAGGACGCCGGGCGAGATCTTTTCTCCGTCTGATCAGGCGCGCAATCCATCGACGCAGTCGTTTCCAATGCTCCAACGCGGCTTCGGAAAACTCCTCGGCTCCACATTGGATGATCGATCGTAACTCCCGAACCGACTCTATTGCGCCCGCCAAGAACCGCTCCAACGCCTTGTCGAGCGTTTCATCGTCTTCGTCGACCGCGACGCGCTCGACGAACGCGTCAGCTTTGGACGTTGGACGGGACGTCTCGTCGTCCAAAGCTGACGTCCCGAGCGTCTCTTCGCCCGACGCGTCCAATGTTTCCTCTTCCGAGACGTCGCCCTCGTCTCGCGCGCCATGTGCGCGCCCATCAGTGGCATCGAAACGATCCGAGGCTATCGATACCGACGTCTCGAGCGTTGAATCCGCGTGATCGTCGACATCGCTTGAAGAAGCGACGATGTTTTCTCGAGCCAAACTGCACTCGAAATCGTCGAGTATCTCCCACTCCGCGTCCGCGTCCGCGTCATCGTGCCCAACGGAAACCATCGATATATTTCGTCAAGACTTTTTCTTCGCTCGCAACCGTCTTAGTGACTTCGCGCGCGTCGACAACTCACGAAGATTAATCCCACGCGACACAAAACGGCGCTCCATGTCAACCACGCGCGCGCGTCTCTTCGAGCGCGCCGCATCCGCCCTCTCCACGCGCAGATCGACGCACGTAAATGTCACGCGCGACGTCATCCACGTGATACCCACTCGCGCGTACGCGAGACCGACGTTGAAGGGTGTGAACCCGACGCCCAGCGCCGCCTCGGGCGCGCGATCGGGCATTCGCTTGAACCGCACGTCGAGCAACGTCATCGCCGAGCCGTACGCCGGACCTTTGAGACGTCCGACGATCGTCCAGGCGCTGACCACGAGCTTGGGATGGCGGTACGTCGTCGACAGCGCGTTGGGAAAGGCGAAGGACGCGTACGCGCTGAGCAAGTGCACGAAGGAGATAAAAGGATTCACGCTCGACGGGTTCAAAGCCGAGGCGAAGCAATTGTACAGGATGATCAACGCCACGAGCGCGTCGACGAGCGGGACGCGGGCGCTGAGTCACGAGACGCGACACGCGACGACGGATAAGATGCAGAGCGACCTGAAGCGGGAGCGCAAGGCGAGAGAGCTCGGGGGGTGGGGGGCGATCGATTGGTCGTTGGAGGACATCGAGGAGTGTCAGGTGGTTCGAGGGCGTTTAATCATGGCGAATCCAAACGACACCAGCGGGGCTGGGTTCGTGCAGCTCACGACGCGGTTTCGGTCGAGGCAGCGGTTCGCGGCGTACGACGGGAAAGGCAGGCTCGTCTCAGGCGATCCCGACGAGGTGTTGGACGTGGAGGATTTTTGGGTGTTCGAGCACGGGTTGAAGATTCCAAACTCGCGCTGGAGGCTGGCTGGCCGGCTCCACGTCCCAAACTCGTCTTCGGGGTCCGCGGCGCAGGCGACGCAGAGTGAAAAGTGACGCGGCGTTCGTCAATCGATTATTAATCTCGAATTGTATTAATCTAGTCTAGGTTGAGCCTGTAACGCGACAACAAGTGTGGGATGCTCGCAATTTCTGACCCGTACTTCTCGGGATTACCGTACAGCTCGAAGAGCGGCACCGCGAGGAGCTTTAAGTTTTTCGGCACGGCGAAAGCCGCCTTCTCCGGAAGGTGCACGATGAAAATTTTGTGCTCCTCCTTCGGTTTTGTGATGTGCGCCGGGAGGTACGGGTACATCTGCGGTTCGAACGATGTTCGATACCACGTCGCGACTTGATCACCGACGTCGAACTCGTACGCCCCCAACCCGTCTTCGCGCTCTGGTTGCAACTTGTTTTGCATTTTTCTCGCCAACCCCTCGCGCTCGCCCTCGCCCGCTCGAAGCCTCCCCCCCGGAAGCTTAAAAGTTGTCGGCGTGATTTGTAACAACAAAATGTGCGGCGTTCGGTGTTGACTCACCATACAAATCGCCCCCACCGATCGCCGTTTCCCCTCTCGCTCGTACTGCGTCTTCATGCGAAGCAAACGCGCCGCCGCGCTCGAGTCCTTCTCCCCCCTCGCTCGCTTCGTCCCGAACGTATAATTCCCGAGCGCGTGCACGTCAACCACTCGCCTGAAATTCGACGCGTCGCCCACGACGACCCCATCGTCCGCCTCCATCGCGTCTCCCTCCTCTTCGTCCGCCGCCTTCGCCGCCGCCTCCGCCGCCGCCCGCTCCGTCTCCTTCGCCTCCGCCTCCGCCGCCGCCTCCGCCTCCGCCCGCTCGTGTTCCGCCACGACATCGATGTCCGGTCGCAGTTCGATCTCCAACGAATCGCTCTCGCTCTCGTCGCCGTCGTCGTCGTCGTCGTCGTCCACCATCGCGACGTTCGCGCGATCGTCCGCGTCATCGCGTCCGAGCGTTCGCGTCGCCGCCCCCGTCGCGGCGTCCATCGCGCGCGCGGCGCCGTCGTCGTCGTCGTCGCCGTACAGATCGCGCTCGAGCGCGTCCTCGCCCGACATCGCGGCCGTCGCGCGGTGACGTGCGTCCGGCGTCGGCCGAGGTCTCGATGGGGCGTCTTCACGAGTCATGACTCGTGCACCTCTGACGGGACACGTTCATGGGTCATGACTCAGACGACGACGCCCCCAGAGACGCCATTCAAACGACCGCGCGCCGCGACGTCTCGGCACCGCGCGACGGGCGATGCCCGCGCTCGAACGCGCGTTCGACGCGCCGCGACGCGCGCGACGGCACGCGAGACCCCGCGCGCGCGCGCGGGGCGTCTGCCGCGCTCTCGCGCGGGCGAATGTGCGCACGAATGCGTCGACGCGCGACGACGCGGCGACGACGACGGCGGCGCGTGGACGCGCGACGACGCGGGACGTCCGCGCGCGCGCGTCCGCGCGCCTCGACGCGTGGGACCCCGACGTGGACGCGACGCCGGATGACGACGCGGTGACGGCGATGTTCGATGACGATTGCGATTCGTTGGAGGAGGCGCTGGAGCGGGACGCGGCGCGCGCGCGGCGTGGTTGCGCGTCGCGGAGCGCGCGTCGACGATCGGGGCGGTCGTCGCGGGCGTGGCGAGCGTGGTGACCTCGGAAGTGGCCCTGGGAGGGGTGGCTGGGGCGCTGCCGATCGCGGGGGCGATCGCGCGGCGCGCGCGGAGACGGTGCGCGGAGCGAGCGAGAGAGACGGTGCGCGAACGGAGACGAGAGGAGACGCTGGCGCTTCGCGCGAAGGCGGCGAGGTCGGTGACGATCGAGGAGAGCGCGAAGAGGATGGCGCCAGCGGCGGCGCGCGCGGTGCGACAAGACGTCGCGCCGGTGTTGATGGAACTCGCGGAGCGATTGGCGCAAGTCGAACGCGCGCAAGTCGAAGCGGCGAAGACGGCGGCGAAGACGGCGCGAGATAGCGGCGCGGTGGCGGGTATGCTCGCCAGGGATGTAGCCGCCGCGCGCGTGGACGCGCGGGAGGGCATCGCGAGCGTTCGCGAGGAGTTTCGATCCACGGCGTCGGCGGCGACGAGCGAGCTCAAGCGAGAGTTGACCATGCTGTGGGAACTCGTCGAGACGGTGGAGAAAGACGCGGCGGCGTTGCGAGAACCCATGGAGGCGCTCGCGGAGGAAATTCGTGGTGTCGTCGACGGTGCGGTTCGAGAGATAGTCGCGAGCGCGAGCGTCGCGGACGGGTCCGCCGCGGGAGGAAGACTCACGGAGGACGAAATGGCGGCGCTGCGCGCCGACGTCGCCGAGGCGGCGAGCGCCAAGGTTCGCGAGGCGGTCGAGCGAGCGCTCCAGTCCACTCCGATCGCGGTCTCGGACAGCGCGGCCGCGGTGCAACTCGCGTCGACGCTGGATGATAGTCAGTGGAACGCCATGATTGGACGTCTGAGCGCCATCGAAGCCGGTGTTAACCAAGCCATCATTCGCACTGGCGTGAACGACGGCGTCATCGTGGAGGAAGACTTGGAGGACCTGCGCGTGGAGATCACGAGGGAGATTTCGGCGGATATTCGCGGGATAGTCGATAGTGTGGCCGATTTGAAGAGCGCGTTCACGTCATCTAAAGAGAATTGGGACGTCTCTGGCTCCGGTTCTGCCGAAGCCGCAGCCGCGGTGAAGCAGTGGGCGGAGAGCAAGGTGAAAGCCGAAATGCCGTCGAACAAAGTGGAAGATCAGATGAGATGGCAAGCGGCCATCGTACAGGAAGAAAATTCGTCCACAGACGAGCTAGTGTGGGTCGGAGAACCTTCGCGAAGCGAGCCGACGGCGAAGACAATGAACGCCGACGCGACGCGAGAAGAGGCTTTCGCCAACATGCAGGCACTGCTGAACTCTAAGGCCCCCACAGGCTCAGGCACGGAGGAGCCGAAGACGCCCAGCGTCTCCGCTGGTTTGTCCGGAGAAACCGCAGAGAGACAAACGGGCGAAGAGGAAGAGGTCTGGGATCCGTTTCTTCGCGCGGCTGATCCAGAAAACGTTGCGAAGTACGAAGCCGAAATGCGCGCCGCCGAAGCCGCGAACGATGTCGCAGCAACGAGAGATGAGCCCAAAGATGAGTTTGATACGTACTCTGAGCGAGGCTTGGAATCTCTTCGCGCGGGAAGAGATTTAGCACGCCGTGGCGGCAAGGACGTTGATATGCTCGAGGACGCAGATGAGAGGTTCGCGGAAGCAATCAAAGATTTCGAACGCGCGGCGAGCGCAGCGGAGCCAGCCGCGGCGTCGCGCGCCGCTGGAAACTTGGGAAACGCATATCTCGCGCGCGGTCGCGTTCAGGCGGTTCTGGCGGACATGGCATTTAAGGAGGCTCAACTAGCTCGCGACAGGCGCGTGAACGCTGGTTTAGAAGGCACGGGTGAAATGTACTTTGAACTCGCCGAAGAGAATCTGATTCAAGCCGGACGCCGGTTTCGAGCCGTCGTGACCGAGGAGTCGGATTCGACCAGTGAATCTTCGGACGAGAAAAAGAGCGGGATCACCGCAAAGGCCAAGGCTTTGGCAGGTTGGGGAACAGCTCTGTCGCTCCGGAGTGAATTGGTACTGAGCACGCAGGGCGCGACGGCGGACGCGGAGTCTCTCGCGATGGCAGCAGCTGAGAAGTTCAGAGCCGCGGCTGATATTGAACCGGAATCGCCGAAGATTTACACGTCTTGGGGCGATGCCCTGCGTTTAGGTGCTTCTCTCGGACCTGCGCGTGATGAGGATGAGCGTTTACAACAAGCGCGAGGCTGTTACGCCGAAGCTTTGCGGTTGGCTCCCGAGTACGCACCGGCGATCGCCGCTCTGGACGCAATGACATAAGTGTGTGTGGCTACCGTTTAATTTCATAATGTAAATCTAGAGGAATCCCAAAACGATTTTATCGAGAGAGTCCATCGGCCGAACGCGGCGATTTGCCGGCACTCCACCGCGCTCCATGGCTCCTTCGCGAAGGAGCGCGGACGCCTGTCGAGCCGCCTTTCCGGCGGCCTTTCGCACAAACGCGGCAGGCCACCCCATCGGGGTGTCTACCGTTATCCACGCTCCGCGTCCTCCGTCTTCGGACGATTTCGCATCCGGTTGCGCGGGCGCGCGTTGCGTCGTCCAAACATCGACCCATACGTCGCCAGGCGGGAGATACAGATGCACGTGCGTCGCTCCTTTGTCCAGCACCGGTGCGACGAGAATATCTGGTCCGAGGAGAAACTGTTGCGTGAGCGTCGTGGCGACGGGATCATTGGGGTAGTGAATGACCATCGAACGCATCAAAGGGAGACCCACTTCATGAGCCTCTCGCATGAGCTCCTTTTTGTACTCCTTCAGAGCGACGTGCATGTCCACGCAAACTCTCAGCTGTTCGACCAGCTCCGGGGACCACCACGGCTGAGCGTTGTGCAAAGGACGATTCCCTTGATGCGTACGATAGATGCTGTCCGCGAACGCGCTCAACTCCATCCATCGCATCAGGAGCTCGACCGATCGGTGCTTCAGAGGATGCGCAGTATACCCGCCGACGTCGCTGTGCGTCATGGTGAGGCCGGACAAGCCGCCGGAAAGAGCGCCGAGAACGGCCGTTTTGATGCCATCGTGCGCGTCCCAGGAAACCATTTGATCGCCGAGCCAGAAAAGGGCCGAGTGTTTCGGCGATTTCGTGCTCGCGCTACGGCTCCAAAACAAACCCGATCCCTCGAGACCGGCTCGTTTCATCGCGCGTCGATTGATCTCAGCCCACTCCTCCGGATATCGGTTGTGCACCTCGATCGGAAGTTCGCCGGAGTGTAACATGGCATCGAACGGAAGGTACTCTCCAAAGTCCGCCATCCAGCCCATCGCACCCGTCTTCTTAATCATGTCTACGATGATGTCTTCGATCCACCGCACACAAGCGGGATTGGACAGGTCGAGCAAGCCGAACGTGACGCCGGGCTCAGAACCGAGTCTATAAACTTCCCCCTTGATGTCTCGCACCATGTAATTATTCTCCTTCGCGTGACGATAAAACGCACCCTTATCAGAATTCGAGTCCATCAAGAACGTGTTGACGTACGTCAATAGATGCGTCCCCTTTGCTTTCATCTCCTCTCGCAGTTCGTTCCATCCGGGATACTGCGCTGGGTCGAGTCTCCAATTCCACCAAACTCGTTCGATACCGATCGATGTGTTGCGAGCGCCGCCCCAGTCTTGCAGCCACAGTCCACTCACCTTGACACCACCGTTCGTCAGGGTGTTATGCACCTCGCGCGCTTTACTCGTCCCTCCAGTGAGACCGAGAATGACACCGTCCATCGGCCAATCCGGTAGCGGCAACATTCGTCCTGCGTAATCCGTATACGTTCGTAAAACATCCGGAATGGTCTTTGCACCGATTATTTGACCCATAAGCAACCCTGTCGGCGCCGCGGCGCGAATGATCACGGAGTCCTCCTCAGTGAAATCAAATTCACTGTACGTGTAATTGGTGAGAAACACAGAGCGCGCCTTGTGCGTGACGTAATGCGGGATAGCCGTGTACGTCGTGTGCCAAGAACCCGCCGAACCGGGAAACAAACCATTGAACATGAATGAAAGCGGCTGCATCCCACGTCCCATCCCTTGCTCCCCGGTGATCACCGGTACCTTTCGTCCTCTGTGATTATGCGAGGAAAACTGTTCGCCCAACCCGTACACGCTTTCATCCTGGTCCATCGCATACTCAAAGTCGAGCTGATTGAGTTCAACGATCCTTCGCCTTCGTCCCGCGCGGCTGACCCCTGGAACGGTGTCGTCCCAACTGATCGCGAAAGCGAGCCTGTCGTCTCCATCGCTCTCGAGCGTGAACTCATACGACGCCACGAGTTTTGAGCGCGCCAAGTACTCGCGACGCCTAACCATCCTGTCTCGAAGTCGCGCACCAACGTCCCCGAGCTTCATCATCACTCGGTCGAGCAAAGCGTCCTCTTTCACCAATTTCCCTCTCACGACTAACTTCTGCCCGTGCGCGTCGTGTACGATCTCATCCACCGTCTGAATGCTCGTCCGCAGAACGGACTTCATTGAAATCTTAAAATGTCCCGCAATCAACTGCGCGACTTTAATCTCCCCGCTCCCCACTCGCACGAACGGCCGTCCCGGAACCGTCTCCCAAGCGATCTGCGAGCTCTCATCGCACCGTAACCCGAGCGCACATCGCACCCCTCCCTCTCCGCTCGCGTACGTCGCCCGCAACGCCACCGCGTCTCGATCCCATCCAACCTTAAACCTCCCCCCCAGATCCCACGACCCACTCGCGACGTCGCTCACGATTCGTCCCTCCGTCGTCACCGCGTGATACACCCGTCCGAGCATCGGCACGAGCATCGCGTACGCGAACAACACGAACGCGCTGCTCGCCAGCGGCACTCTCGGCGCGTACACCGCGACGTACTCCGCCCGCGTGCGCACCACCGTTCCCACGCGCGTCGCCACCGATCGCAGCGGGCTCGAGGGCGCGTCCTTCACCGCGCGCCCTTCGCGCCGCGCGCGCGACGTCGCGCGCGTGGGACGTTTTCCGTCGATGCGTCGCGCATTCGTCTCCGGCGCTCGCGTTCGTCTCTCGCCCGTCGCCGTCGCGCTCGCGTTCGACGCGCTCGCGGACGACGTCGACGCGGGCGTCGACGCGGCGCGCGCGCGCGTCGATCGGGCCATCGCGCGCGCGCGCGAGGCGAGCGGGCGAACGATGGCGCGATGGGTGGGCGGCGGGGATGTGAGACTGACGTGTACGACGCGGACCTTATGCACGCGGCGTCTCGCGCGGCGGCGACGGCGACGACGGCGGACGCGCTCGGGCGATGGCGATCGCGTTCGACGCGCGCACGATGAAAAGGGCGGCGCGACCGAAGAGAGGGGTGACGGTGACGTCGGCGAAGTGGGCGCGAAGGAGGCGGAGGACGGCGTCGAGCGAACCGTCGACGTCGTGACACTCGCAGACGACGGAACGGAAACGCGGCCAATGCGCGTCGGAGACGCCTCGGAGAACGTCGAGCTCGGCCCGCTCGACGTCTATTTTTAACACGTCGACGACGTCGAGTCCGTGGGCGTCGATGACGTCGCTGACGGAAACGACCGGACGCGAGACTCGACGCGCGCCAGAGAGCATGTACGCGGCGACGCAACGCACCGCCACGGTGAGCGCGAACGCGGCGACGTGTGAGACGAGTTTCCGTAACGGATTGACGTCTTTCGTGTCGTCGTCGTCGTCGTCCAACACCAACGCGCGAACCGCGCGTCCGAAGCTCGTGACGACGTTTGGCTCCAAGCCGTCGAACCGCTCGGACGACGACGACGACGTCGACGGTTTGAGCGCGTCGAACACGTACTCGATCAAATTTCGCACCGTCTCCGCGTCATTTCTATGTTCCGTGAGCGTCGACCACCCCGCCGCGCGCGGGAACGACGTGAACTCGAGCGTTCCGCCGCCCGTCGATCCCGCGCCCACGTCGTGGGCGTAAATCGCGCCGCACCCGCTCCCGACCCCCCCCCCGCCCACGTGCGCCGCGCGCACGTCTCCGAGCACCCCACCGCGCGTCCAACCTCCATCGTCATCCTCCGACGTCCCAGGCGCCGCCCACACCGCGTCGTCCGACCCAGGCGCTCCGCACAGCGCCGCCGCGTTGCATCGCAACGCCTCAAACGTCTCCGGTATCGGCTCCAGCGCGATCACGCGCCCGCGCTCGCCCGTGACCTCGCGCGCGAAGTACGCGCTCGCGAATCCAACGTTTGCGCCCACGTCGATCACCGCCCGCGGGCGCCCGCGGTCATCCGCGCGCGTCCGCGCGGGGTCCGCGTAGCACGCGCGCCCAAAAATCTCATCCCACTCAAACGTCACGTCCGCCCGGGAGACGTACTTCACGCGCGCGCGTTCGAGCGGCGGCGTCGCCGTGCGTCGCGCGCGGTCGAAGCGCCACGTCGCGGGCGCGGGAACGCCCTCGAGCGCGCCCATGGGTGGGGCGCGATGGACATCTAGGGTTCAGCGAGTCGGGTGTGTAGGGTTTAACCCACGCGCTGCCCTGTGCGAAGACACATGGGCGTATACGGGCTCGAATACGCACGCGACCCCTCGCCTCCGGGCGACGCCGCGCGACGACACATCGCGCGCGACGGCGTCGATGGCGGACGCGCGCGCGCGCGAGCGCGACGTCGTGGGATGGGCGAAGATCGCGCTCGATCGCGCGGGCGACGCGGCGGCGCGGAAGAGCGCGCACGGCGCGCTCGAACGATTCGGACACGCGAGTTGGTTCGACTTGACCGAGGGCCGGGTGTGCGCGTTCGGGGGACGACGACGGGCGCGAGACGCGACGGAACGCCGAGGGGTGGTGTGCGAGATCGATATCGGTGCGTGCGCGGAAGCGCGCGACGGCGGCGGGGGGGGAGGATGGGAATTCGTGTGAGACATTTTTAATTTTGAACGGCGCGCGAACGGCGCGCGGGGCGAAGACTGACGGATAGCGCGCGATCGATGCTCCAGGGACGTGGTGCGTGCGTGAAGAGGCGTGTCAGGGTGACGTGCCGTTCGCGGGGGAGGGAACGACGTACGCGTGGCGACGGAAGGGGGTGAACGGGAGCGCGGCGGCGACGTTGTACGCGTTCGGCGGGCAGGGAAAGGGCGGCGAGCTCACGAGCGACGTGCACGCGATGGACTGCGAGACGCGGGTGTGGACGCGATTGGTGACCAAGGGCACGGCGCCGAAGCCGCGCGCGGGATCGGCGATGACGATCTCGAGGGAGGGTCACCTGTTCGTGCACGGCGGCGTGAGCGAAAAAGCTGATAGATCGAGCGTCTACCTCGCGGACGCGCACGAGTTGAACTTGAGCACGATGACGTGGCGGGAAGTGAAAATGCGTGGGAATGCGCCGTCGCCGAGGGCGTTTCACACCCTAAACGCGTTGAACAAGATGATGGTGTGCTTCGGCGGCGACGACGGGACGGAGTTTAAGCGCGAGACGCACTACATGCGATACGAGGACGAGGTTTGGTGCGAACCAGAGACGGCGGGGTATCGAGGCGGTGACGATGCCGTGTGCTGGCCGTGTGAACGGGCGTGTCACACCGCCACGGCTTTGCGAGATGGAGACACGTTGATCGTATTCGGAGGCTTGGGCAAAAATAGCGTCTCCTTGGGAGACATGTGGGCGTTCTCTGCGTCCGAGTTGTGCTGGACACCGGTGGAGCCGCCGTCGCAGACACCGGACGAGCGATTTTTGCACACGTCGACGCTCGTCGACGACGGCTTGGTGATCCTCGGCGGCATGACTCTCAACATGGACGGAGCGGCGAGGAGCGGCAAGAAGTACCGCGTGTTCGACCACATGTACATCTTGACGGGGATGCAGTTGCTCACCCATCCGCTGTGGAGGGCGGAGAACGTGCGCGACGAATCGCATTCAACGGTTACCGACGGCCGGAAGAAGTTTGCGTTGTCGTATCCGGAGAGGGTGCCGCCCAAGAAGAAGCTCACCGCGAAGATTGCCCAGGAGATGACGCCGACACCGAAGGCAGCGCAGGCGATCGAAGTATCGCAAAAGGAGAAACCGGCGAAGAAGGAAGTATCGCAAAAGGAGAAACCGGCGAAGAAGGAAGTATCGCAAAAAGAGGAACCGGCGAAGAAGGAAGTATCGCAAAAAGAGGAACCGGCGAAGAAGGAAGTATCGCAAAAGGAGGAACCGGCGAAGAAGGAAGTATCGCAAAAGGAGGAACCGGCGAAGAAGGAAGTATCGCAAAAGGAG